TGCCCAAAGAAAAAGCTCATAAAGCAACTTAAGTTAGTTAGTTGCCTGCCTCCTATAATGTATGTAAAATGAACAAATGAGGTCTGGAGCAAGATAAGGATTTGGACTAACATACCCCCACACATACCCATGTTTGGGTAGTTACATCTACCCAGGGGAAGCTGGCACCACCTTCACATGTCAATCAAAAATGCAAACTTCTTCACCCCCATCCTGCCAACTATATAATCCTCAGAACAAAGGACTCTCTCCCTTGGCTCTCTTGCCACACGGGGGACCCCTGGCCACCTGGCCTCTGGCCACCCTGCTCTTGCTACCCTGCTTTTGCCACTCTTGTTTTTGCTTTCCCATTAGAACTTAACACTAATAAACTTTGCTTGCACACTAATAGGCTTGTGGTTCTGTAATTCTTTACTGAGTCAACAAGAAGAAATGAGTTTCTGAGAGTTTCTCTCATAACAGAATGAATACAAGGGGGACCATCAGTAATTAAGTTAGGGGAGCCAGAGAGTATTTGTAATTAATAGTGAGAAGACAGCAAGATTCACAGGTCTTAAAAAAGGCACCCTGGAGAAGCCGGCATGAAGAATGGGCCTAATTTAATGAGTTCGAAGCAAAGGGAGTACAAAAAAGTAAGAGGAAGAATGAGAATGGGTCAGTGAGAAATTCAGAACTGAGATCAGGGCATGGGGAGCCCAAATTTCTGAGAAGCCCTATTTACTAGGGTAGGTCCCCTACCCACTAGGGGACCCAGAAAAGAGATTAAAGACAGAGGGAGGAGCCTGCTTCCATGGGCGCCTGGGAAGTCACCAAAGTCACCAACAGGGACAGAGGCTAAATAAACATGGGCGACAAAGGATTATGAAGAAAATACATTCTTCCCTGGCTGGTGTTGCTCAGTGGATTGAGCGCCAACCTGTGAACCAGAGGGTCACCAGTTCAATTCCCAGTCAGGGCACATGCCTGGGTTGTGGGCCAGGTCCCTGGTGTTGGGCATGCAAGAGGCAACCAGACACTGATGTTTCTCTCCTTCTCTTTCTCCCCTTCTTCCCCTCTCTAAAAATGAATAAATAAAATTAAAAAAAAGAAAATGCATTTCTTTTTTGCCTTAAGCAAATCACTTTACCAGACCCTGAGTCTCTGTTCACTCACCTGTGAGGATAAAGTGAGGCTGCGCAGATAAAGCCTGCCTTGCACTAAATATGTGCCCAGCAAACTTGAATGTTTTGTTTTCCTGGTAAAGAAGGCTTTGTTTTGCAATGGTCCAGTCTTGGACACTGCCCAGATAAATCCAAGGCCAATGAATGGCTGAGTAATATCTAGGACCCTAGACCATTAGGGTCTAAAGAAACTGTAGCAATCAGTCACCTTTCAACTGCCACTTCCTGAGTTGTGAAGTTATAGCTACACTTTGTGCTTGCATCTTTTGTTTATAGAATACCTACTATATGCTAGAAGAATACATAGAGTTAAAAAAAAGATAAAACTTTTTTTCTCCTTTAGGTAAGAGAGAGGTGCCCTAGAGAAGTAGTCCCAGCCTTTGATTTCCAAAGGTTGAAATATATGCCCAGGGTGGTGAAGTGACTAGTCTGTGGCCACACAGCATGGCAGGGCAGGTCCATACCAGACACTGTTCTACAGTGTTCAGTCCCCATCCCACTACACCCTGCATTCAGGCTGTGTCTGTGCTCCAGTGCACAGCCAGTGGCCAGCTGTATAGCCTTAGGCAAAGCACTCCATCTCTCTGATCCTCAGTCTCCCCATATGTAAAGTGGGGCCAAGAATAATCCCCATGTCAAAAGGTTGTCCCAAGACTCAAGATGTAGTAATGTGCATAAAAATGCATTGTACTCTGTAGACTGTGCATTGTGCAAGCAATTCTGCTCCTCCTCAGATCACTGGGCATATTCTTCTGGGACAGGGCAGCCTCCTGTGGCCACACAGAAGTGTTTCTTCTCTGCTCAGCAAGCATCTATTGAGCACCTCTTATGTGCTCCATGTTTAATTACTAAAAACCTGTGGGACATAACCTTGCCTACAAAGAGCTCAGCCTGGATGCAGAACAGTGCAAATGGAGGAAACATGGTGATCTACAGTCAGGATAAAAATGAGTGGCCTCAAGGGTGGAGGCCTGAGGGGAACCACAGGAAAGATGGGCTTGAGCCAACCATGGAGACTAAATGTGGTTGGGTGGGTGGGTGGGGGCAGGGGATAAAAGGCATTATAGGCAGGAGAAGAGCCCTGGCAAAGGCTCTTTGGACAAAAAGGCTCTTTTTGTCCCAAAAAGACAGGGTGGCAGAAGGACTAGAAATGGCCAGCCCATAGCACTGCTGGCTCTCATGACTACCTCCTGGCTCTTGGGGCCAGTGGCATAAATAAAAGAAGGTTCTGGGGAGGCCTGGCATGGCCATGGGTCTGAGTGCCTAGCCAGTGCCCAGCCCAACCAGACCTGTAGCCAGATTTCTGGGCATCTGTTCCCTAATCATTTCAGAAGGAGCTGAAGTAGGCCCTCCCTAGAAACCTATAAAAGCCTAGGGTGGAGTCAGGGGCCCAGAGGTAAAGAAAGCCAGTAGAACTGTGGAAGTCAGGACAATGAGGGGGAGCCAGAGGGGACAGGGAACACGTCAGAGGGCCCTAAAAGAGGAAGCAGCCCAGTCTCAGTTCCCCTCCCAAGGATGGGAAATACCCTCCATTCTCCCAGCCCTCAACAGCTGTCCCTGTCTTTTTACCTAAAATCACCAACCCTGGGGCCAGGACCACCTAGGCTCTGTGCTCCGTCCTTTCATGTTTCTCCAAGGTTGTTGAGTCCTGAGCATTTCCAGGGGCTTAGGGCAGCCCTGCATGGGCTACAGAATCAGGATCCACACTGAGCAGGGCATAGTTGAGATTTTATTGAAGCTGGACACCCCATGGATTAAGAAATGGGACCTAGCCCTCAGAACTAAAATCCAAAGAAGGGTACCAAAGTCAGCCCCTCCCTCCTCACCCTTCCTCTACCACTGGGCCTTCAAGGAAGAGAGGGATCCAAAGCCAGTGGGGCTCTTCCTCATCCCCACTTATTCAGGGACAGAAGAGTTGGAGTTCAGATGAAGACCCCCAACTGCAGAGATTGGTTTATTAAGTCTGAGCCTGGCTACACTGGGAAAATGGCCCCCAGACCCTGACAGGGAGCAAGGGGGTAGTAGCTGGTAAGTCACCTCTACTTTCCTCCGTCCTATACAATCTGCTGTGACCCAAAGCAAGAGCAGGAAAGAGAAGATAGGAAGACAAATATTATGATTTCTCTCCTCCTCAACTATCCCTGTCTTGGGCTTCTGTACCTTGTTGGCCTTTTTGTTGGGACATCAGCAGGGAGGTCGTGGCTAAAATTTCTAACTGCAGGTTGCAGCAATGTCAATCCTGCCGTATTCACAGCTGCCCCAGGAACTCAGTTTCCCTGGATTGAACAACTCCACATTAAGAGACAATCTATTAAGATGGCATCCCAAGGCAGGCTCAATCTCAGGTCCAGCAGGGCAGAAACTGGAAGAAGTAGTGAATCACAAGGCAAACTGTTCTGCTGTCTACCAAGCTGCACTTGGTTCTTGACTTCCCTTGTGCATTCTGTTTTTTTATGTCTAGCTGGGTTCCTCCCCACCACTCTACCATTTCTGGTCTAACTTCCCCATCTCAGGGCAGGCCTTGCATAGGAAATGCAGATCACCAGGAGTCAGATCTTTCCCACCCCATGCTCACCCCATTGGAAGAGACTAAAAACAAGAACATGTTCTAGACTGTTATCAGCACTGCTGTCAAAATTGTCTTGGTGACACTGAGGCCAGTCAGCAGCAAGGAAAACAGAACCAGGTGGTGGACAGTGTCTGGAATCACCTCCATTCCCACATCACTTTGCCTATTAAAGACAGGACCAGTTTTCCCTGATGTCAGCCCTGCAAAGGGAAGTGGTTAGAGCACTCCAGGTAGAGCTCCCCTCTGGTCTCCAGGTTCTGCCCACACTGGGCTGAGCTGGGGAGGGCTTTGCTTTCCAGGATACATAGAACTCCTCCCACAGGCTCAGGGACCTCTGGGGGACCATTCTTCCTCCCTCAGGAATGGCTGCCTCTTTTGCTACTGTGAGAAAGCCATTGGTACTCTGCTGGACTCTGTCCTCAGAGACCTGACTCTCCTGGACCTCTCATGACAAGGAAGTGTGGTATGCCCAGAGAAGACATTGTTGTGCACAAAGACCAAGGAAGATAAAGGCAGGCTAGGGGAACCTGGGAATTGCAGGTGCTGATCCAGGAGCCTCCTCCTGCAGAAAAAGAAAAGGGAGGCGACAAAGATATGAAGCTTGGTAAGGATTCCTTTATATCATCATATTTGCCCCAGCTTCTAGCAAGAGGAGAGTGGCAGAGGGAGGAACACCTGGAGAAGTTGAGTATGGTAGACTGTGTGGAGGGGAGATGAGAGAGAAACTGAGGGTCCACAAGGGACTGCTGGAGAGAAAAAATGTTTGGATTGAGAAGAAGCAACTGGGATGTGAAGAAGGGATGAGCTTGAACGCAGGGGAAGGAAGGTATGACCAAAGAGTCAGCCATCCATGAAGCCAGCCCATGGTTCCTGGGCTTAGAAACTTCAGAAATGAAGATCTGGAGTGATGCTTCTTGGACAGGGTGGCATCTGGAGCCCTAATCTCAGAGCAAAAGATTGAGACATAAAGTTCTACTTTAGAAGGGTCTGTCTGATTAGAAATAGAACCTCCCCAGGAAAGAAAGGCAGGGTGTGGATTAGATGGACAAGTGTCAAAGAAACAGCCTAGTGCTGGCAGGAGGTGGGGATAGCATGACCCCAAACCTTCACTTCTGAGATCATCTTCTACAGCAATCACCCCCAAGAAGGTATAGGATGAATCAAATTATCACTTTGGGTTCCAAGCAAACCATGGTGTTAGGCTTGGAGGCCTGGACTGTCTGAAAATTTTACAGGGACATCACTCAGGAGCTCACCAACTTTCCACTCACCTCTCATGGGCTCCAGAAAGCTGGATGTTGCCCCCACATCAGACTAGCCTATTGGAGAATCTCACGTAGCCACCATCTGGACTGTTGATGTGGCCACTGATGGTAAAGGGTGGACCCATCTCCAGCTCCTTTGAGTTCCTAAAAAAGAATATCCAATCAAGTTATTGGGGCTGAAAACCTAGCTTATTTCTGAACCAGAACACAGGAAGAAGTTCCTGGCAGTGACTCACTGACTCACTGGCTTGCCTTCCAGAATAGAAGCTACCCCATTTCTCAGAAGCAGATGAGGTGCAGGCCTGCCCTGTGGCAGGGAGGACAAGATAACTTATCCCAAGAGGATTTTCTGACTCTTGTTCCCTGAATCCCTGATTGTTTTCATTTGCTCCTCTCTTTCAATACCACACTATGCTTGATATTACATTGTTTGTAATTAGAGCTAGACAGTGAAAAACCTGGAGACAAAGACTATGCTTAGTTATCTTTGTACCCTTAGAACCTAGTACCACAATACCTGCTACAATAGATCCTCCTTGAATAAATGATGAGTAGATGATGAATGAATGAATGAATGAATGTTAAGAGAATCGCTGTCATCAGGGTCTTACATGATCTTATCCATGTACAAAGTTTTTATTCACTTTCTAAACATTTTAAATGGACCCTGGCTCCTTCCATTTATCTTGTTTGCTTAGGGGAAGGAGAGAAGACAGGGAAGGGAAGCAGTAAGTTTTGGTTTCGTATCTGATCCTTTCTCAAGCAAACCAACCTCCCACCCCCACCTACCCAGACCTGCCCTGAATCTACTCACCAGATTTGATACAAGTTGAAGACAAAATTAGGTCCTAGGGAGACAATCCAAAAAGAGAGGGTTAGAATATCCAGGGAAAGCTTCCCATACCCCTCTGGGAGCATCTGGTGCTCCCTTATCCCTGTCTGGAAGGAGTGGAGTGGCTGGTTGGGCCTCAAGATGTTGTGGATGAGTACCAAGTTCCTGAACTTTCTACTTCTTGCTCCATACCCCACCTTCCCAGACTGACTCACCAATTTTTTCAGGACAGACGCTGCCACTGGGTATTTCTCTTCTAAGGGTATTGATTACCCTGGGAAGGAAACAGTCCTAGCTTAGAACCCCAAAGAAGCAGATCTGAGCTTCACTCCAGACTCTACCATTTCCCAACCCTGACTTTAGCCTCACATTTTCATCTACAAGAATAGAGACTAAGAATTTTGTTCTTGCATGGAATTTTAAAGAAAATCATATTATGCAAATAGGCATTGGCACATAGCAGGTGTTTAATAAGCATTTGTGGAAGCTGTTAAAGTCAATTGCAGATCTGGGAAATGTTCTCTACCTCTCGGCACTTCAGCAGGCCCTCCTATCTCTCCTGGGTCCTATGAAAAGTACAGCTGTGGGTCAGAGTTGGGCACACCACACCCAACTTCCAAAAGCCTCCCACTGAAGCTGAAGCATCGGCAAGCTTAGGAGAGGACCCCAACCCACAATCAGGGGAAGAGATATACAGGGAGCCAGAGCCAGGGACACCTGGAGCTTGGCCAGTCTAGGCTGTTGCCTATGGCCTGGAGGCCCATACAGGCCTTAAGGATGAACTCCTCTGGGCTCTGAGAGAAAAGAAACCTAGCTGCTTGGGGTGAGAGGAGCCTCCACTCCCTTGATAAATGTGCTAGTACCCTACCCCCAACACCTCAAGTGCTCAGCTATCTACTCAAGTCTTCAACCACTGCAGCCACCACAGGAAATATTTTTTCATGGCACCATGCTGAAGAGTTTGCAGCCCCACCCAATTCCCCAACTGCTACAGGAGAGGAGGGGCTTGGCAGAAATGGGCTACAGAGTCAAGCTTTCACTCACCCTCCCAGCAGTACCCATGCTGGTACCACTTGGCCAGGCTGTAGCCCAGGATGAACACAAGCAGCAATGATAGCCCCATGCCAAGGATCAGGCCGAGGGTGCTGACGGAGTCCTCACCTGCAGAGACACAGCATACTTCACCCAGCTGCCCAGAGCCCTCTCAAAGCCCCTACACCAACTAACCATACCTCATTGTTAGAGCCTCCCTCCCCATTGCCATCAAAATGACTGGTCCTTGAGATTTTTTATCTGAGCTAGCTAGTTCAGCTAAGTCATACTAAGATATGAATGTCAGATACCTGATTTTTTATAATTTGCTTGTTTATCCAAAGCAATAGTCCACTGACAGTAGAAAGTTTGACACTGAAAGGCCTTTCCAAACCCACAGACATTCTAGTTGATGGAAGAGTCACTAACATTTGGGGAAGAATTCAGGAGGTCTCTCCTCAGCATGAAGGCTGCTGGTCATGAAGGGAAGCTTGGAGAACCCCAAGAACAGAGACCCAAAGATCCTTAGTAGCCTCCTCACAAAGTCCACATATTCCGTGTCAGGGTATTAACTCTTGAGCTCTGTTTGCTACTTATACTCATCACTTCTTCCCTTTTTGTGGTATGAACTTCTAGCTAAATTTATATTTTATTTGTAAAGCCAAACCAAGAGAGAAGGAGAAAAAGAGAGGGAGAAACACAGACAGACAGACAGACAGACAGAGGAGGAACAGAAGAAGAGAGAGTGAAAAAGAAAAAAAAACATTCAGAGAGATGAGATGGGCTCTAAGAAATGGCATGGAGGGAAACAAGTTTTCAGGAAAAGGCTGACGTGGGCATATCATGGAGACAAAGCAGCCACCGCAGAAGGAAAGGAAGAGGAAGGCCAGCCCCACCCCTGCCACATGGCATGCCAGAGTGTGGGAGAATAGGCTGATGCTCCATCTTCATAGTCCCATGTGTGGCTCTGGGGTGTTGCCAAGAGCCTAGTAAGTGCAGTGAGTAAGAACTACCTTTGGTAAAGCAGGATTGTGTCCAAAGCCTAGGTCCACCAATTGCAAAATTTGGACCAAAGCAAATCCCTTTTCCTCACTAGACTTCAATTTGCTCTTATGAAAATAAGCATAATAATACATATACAGTCCATGTGATGATTAGTGGAGATGTCATATAGAGAGAGCACTTAGGAGAGGAACTGACATATACTAAGTGCTTAATTGACATTAATTATATCATCATTGTTGTTTTTAATATATTATCAAATGGTACAATTGTGTTTTCAAAATATTTTGCAATACCCCCCAACTCACGCCTTTCCCTCTCCCACGCCCCTTGACCCTTCTTCCCATTAAAGCAGCCAGGTTATTATCGCCTCATCAAAGAGTATGTGAGAGCAGAATGCAGAAAGAAGAGGTCTCTCCTAGTTTTAGATTACAAAAGCCCTGGCTCTTAGATAAATGGAAAGGATTCACAACATAGACAAGAAGTGAGCAAAGCAAGCTTACCCTCTTGCTGTATCAGGAAAAAATTCTTCAGCCTGGGGGAGGGAGGGAGAAAGATAGATAAAGAAAAAGCACTGGGAAACACTGAAAAGATGTCACTGGGTCCCAGAGAAAGTCTTCATTCTCTGATTCAAAGCTGAGCCCAGGGAGGCAATAGAATTCCTAGGCAGAGCTGTGGATCTGAGAGCTGAACTGAGCCCCAGAAAGACAAGAATCCTATAAGAATAGTTGAGTAAAACTCCTTGGCAGAGAGAGCCTCAGACAGCCTTGAAGAGTTCCTGTGCCCTCTCATGGCATGGAAATAACCAAATGATTTCTGTGTCCCCAGGAAAGCAGGGAAGTCCCAGAGAGGCCCTCCAGACCTGAAGGAATCACACAGCGAGGGTCTAGGCTCACCTTTGCAGCACCCTGCATGGCTGATGCTCAAAGCCCAGTTGAGTGGATGGCCATCACTGGGGATGCACCATGGGTGCCAGTGTGAGCAGAGGGCATCAGGGATCAGGCATCCTCCCCAGCTCCTTAGTTCCCAAGAGAAATGGGAGAATCCCCCAAACCACTAATGGCATCTTCTTTATACCAGGCACTGTTCTAGACACTTGTATTATGGCAATAAATATAACAATGAAAAAATAAATCCTTGTCCTCATGGAGATGATATTCCCAGTGGAGACAAATAACAACAAAATAAATTATATAGTATATTGGAAGATGATACATGCTAGAGAGAAAGAAGTAAAGCAGAGGAAGAGATAGAAAGCATGGTGGGGATGAGAGTACAGTTTTAAATAAAGTAGTCAGGGAAGGCCTTGTGAAGAATGAGACAATGGAGGAGAAAGCCCTAAAGGAGGTGAGAGAGAGAACACACCATGGAGATAGCTACAATAAAAATGTTCTAGGCAGAGGGAGGAACAAGTAAAACTAAGGCAGAAGCATGCCAAACAGATTCCCAAAGCATTAAGGAGCCCTGGGTGATGAGTAGGGGCTAGGGGTGAGGGCAAGTAGCCAGAGATGAGAGAACAGAAGCCAGATAATGTAGTGCTTGAAGGCAATAAGGGCAGCTTTGTTTTACATATGAGCAAGATGAAGAAGATTTTGAGTAAAGAGGTAACATGACCCAATGTTTTAAAAGGATCATTCGGATAGTTACTGTGTTAGAATAGATGGGATAAGGGACAATGACGAAGCAGGAGACCAGTCAGAAGGCTACTGTAAAATCCAAGTAAGAGATGACCATTAGCCCTGACAGGTGTGGCTCAGTGTGTTGGGTGTCATTCTGTAAACTAAAAGGTCACTGGTTTGGTTCCTGGTCAGGGCACATGCCCAGATTGCCGGCCAGGTCCCTGGCTGGGTAGATGCAGGAGGCAACTGATCGATATTTTTCTCACACATCAATGTTTTCCTTCCTCTCTTTCTCCCACCTTCCTCTCTCTCTAAAAATAAATATTTTTAAAAAATTTAGAAATAGAGAGAGAGATGATCATCGAAGGAAAGTAGTGCAAGAAACCAAGAGGCTAAAGTCAGGGAAAGCTCGTTTATGTGGATAATGAAGAGCGTAACAGTGACCCAAGAGCTCAAGAACTCAAGATAGTGACCCAGACATGGGTGGACAGATGACTCAACCAGTTGTGATAGTGAAATTATTGGTGTTTCTGGGAGCTGAGGTTTTGAAGAATTTCATAAAGAAAAGTCTCTTTGGGAATAAAAAGTACCAGCAGGGGACTCACAGGCCTTCTGGAGATCCAGCTGGTGAGGGAAGGAGGTGTATTACCTCTGCTTGCTACTATTTTCCCCACTCCCAAAAGTGCTTTCTGTCCTAGGCAGCTTGCAGGCACAATTATTCTATTTTATCTCTTTATCTTCCTAGGATGCTCCTTTAACTAATATTGTTTATTTAGTCTCCCTTTATGTATACCTTTAAATTTTTTTTACAAAATATTTGATGCACAAGAAGTGCATAGAATGACATATGAACATCCATGTGCCTGCTATTAATCTTAAGAGAATTCTAAAATTTTGCTATTCTTGCTTTACAAGCATGTATCTCAATTTCAGAGTAGTCCTCTTCTACCTCTCCCTCTAAATAACTAGTCTCCCAAATTTGGTGTTAGCTTCTCTATGCATGTTTTTATACTATTATTTCATTTTATCCTCATACAAGGTCTTTCCAGAAAAAGTCCAACAATTACTAATATAATGAGAATGGTTTGTGCAACATCAATGTAACCTGGCAGCCAAGGAGAGTAGACTGGAATGAGCATGAATGTACAATGACAACTTCACTGTACTAGTCAGTGGGGGGGGGGGGGTGATAGACACTGTTGAGTGAGCATGTGTATTGTGTGGCCATCACATTCAAAATGACTGAGCAAGTAAAGCAACAAATCTGCATCAAATTTTATATTAAGCTTAAACATTCCTCCATGGAAACTATTTGGATGATTCAGAGGGCCACAGCTATGGGCAACTGGTGATTGGCAGCTTCATCATAACAATATGCCCACTTATGCATCACATCTCATGCAGAGTTCTTGGTGAAACATCAAATCACCCGGGTGACTCAGCCCTTCTATAGCCCAGATTTTGTGCCCTGTGACTTCTGGCTCCTCCCAAAACTAAAAACACCTTTGAAAGGGAAGAGAATTCAGATCATCAATGAGATTCAGGAAAATACCATGGGGCAGCTCATGGCAATTGGGATAACTGTGTGAGGTCCCAAGATGCCTACTTTGAAAGGGACTGAGGCATCACTGTCCTATGTGCAATGTTTCTTGTATCTTCTATCTTCAATAAGCGCCTCTATTTTTAATAGTATATGGATGGATACTTTCTGGACAGGCTATATATATTAAAATTTGTTTTACATGTTTTCAAATTTTATATAAATGATATTAGGTTTACTAATCACTGTTAGAACATAAATCTACCTGGAACTCATTTTTGTATAAGAGAAATTACAAAATACTTAAAACTGAATAACACTAAAAACACAACTTATCAAAAAATGTGGATTAAGGAGACAGGAAGATGAAGGCAGTGCAAATTCACAGGACAGAGATGAAAAGTGCCCAAAGAGAGAAGCCCACAGATGTGCAGAGTGGCACCTGCAAGGATGAGTCAGTGCATGTGAATGCACTTTCATTCTTTTTCATTACATCATGGAAAGCCTAGACTGCCTTAGGAAAGAAAGGATTACATTTCCTTCAACCAACTCTCTCTCCATAAGACTCACTCCTTTCAATGAAACTCATTTACTCATTTACAATGAGTAAATTAGAGAGTGTTCAGAACAATGGTATGGTCTCTGGTAAGAGCTTGGGGTGTGGGGGGGGGTTTATTGCTTATAATGACAATTATTTAGAACTAAATGAAGCAGGTGTATAAGTTGAGGTATGCTTTCTTAGCAGAAATTGGGCAGCTGGACTCTTTTTCTCTTCTGTGCCATGACTGTGCTGAAGTGGGACACTCTTCAGACTCAGCCAGACTTCCTCAGAAACAGGTTTAGGACATCTCTACTATAGGAAAAATTAAAGATGAACAGAAAATTCTTTCCTGGAACTTTATATAGGAAAATATTTCAAACAACTCTAATACTTTCCTCTAAAATGCAGGTTTTATACAAATCTTAGT